GCGATCTCAAGATTAACCTGACCGAGAGCGACGTCAACGCTCGGGTCATTGACTACTTTAAGTGCTGCAAGACCATTGTGGCTGACAATGGCCTTGCCGAGTGTTTCGGTGGCGAGCATGGATAGCGAGAGAAGTGCAAGCGGCTGATCTCAGCGTTGAGACCGTCGGCGCTCAAGACCTAGGTAAAGCAGAGCATTCGGTACACGCACCCCCAGGCTGAGAAGGATCCCAAGGTGCTGTTCAGGCTCATCGTTGACAAGGCGACGGAATTGGAGCGCTAGTAATTCCGCCTCAAGCTGCAGAGGCGCGAGACAACGGGGCGTAAGAACAAGTCCAAGACCAAGCTGTCGCAGAAGGCAAAGAGCAAACAAGAAGCGCCTGCCGTGAAGATGACAGCAAGAACAAGGCCGACGCTCGATCCGACGCAAGGATCAAGACATCAAGCTCGACTAAGCCACCACCAGGGCCATGTCCGAAGTGCCAAGAGATGCACTGGCTGGGTGAATGCCCAGCGACGAGCGAGACCGAGAAGGAAGAGTTGTTGAAGCGCTTTCGTAACGCGCGGAAGGCAAAAAAGGCAAAGCTGAAGCGGCTCGGCGAACTCCTGCCGACTGCCGACCGTACCGTGGTGCTGAACGGAGTACTGGAGCTACCCTATTGTCCAGACAGTGGCTCAGACTACACAGTCATAAGACGCTCACACTGGGAGCGACTATGCAAGTTAGACCCCGAGGTCCAAGCGGAAGAACTCGAAGTCCCAGTACAGAACCAGACGTTCGGTGATAAGAAGGTGACGGCCACGCACAAGGCCAAGATTCAAGTCCGGATCCACACGGCGGTGGGACGGTGGAACCGATGAATATGGTTGATGTTCTCGTTGTCGATGTCGACGACCACGAGTTCATCGTCAGCAATGACCTGCTGACAGCTCTAGGGATCGACGTCGATCGCCAGCTCGAGCAATTGGCGAACCGTGGTGACGATGAGATGGCCGGTGACCCGATCCATCTAGAAGCTGATGACATGCCTGTGCATGTCGGCAAACCTCCAAGTGATGACAGTGGTGTGATTTTCGCGGCAGTAGAGCGATTAATTTCTTGCGCTGTGGAGTGTGGTTTCCCTGTAAATCGTGTGGAACAATTGCGGAAAATTGTCCACGCGTACGATGTCTGGCGTTTGGAGTTGCTAGCGGATCCTCCGATGAACGATCCACAGCTCAAACTCCGACTGCGAGACGGGGCTCGGCCTACGAAGTGTAAGCCTCGCAAGTACCCGCCTCACATTCGCAAATTCCTTCTCGAATTTAACCAACGTCTTGTTGAACTAGGACTGGTATTTGAGAACCCGAATAGTCGCTGGTCGAGCCCCGTGCTTCCAGTCAAGAAATCGGCTGAACTACTGGAACTAAGGCAGACGGTGGACTACAGAGTGACGAACGCCCAGACTGACATTATGGCAGCCGTTATGCCTATTCTTTCGCTAGTGGTAAAACATGCACGTGGAATGAAACATTTTGGATTATTTGGCTTCCTAAAAGGTTTCTGGCAATTGCCACTTGCGGAACTATGTCAAGAGTGGTTCTCGTACATCACTGATGAAAAGATCTTCATGCCACGCCGAGTCCCACAAGGCTGCAGAGATGGGGCCATCCACTTCCAGAAAGCAATGGAAGAGTGCTTTGCTAGCCTACTCTAATCATCTGGATTGATGACCTATTACTGTACGCTGACAACATCGATACATACCTGAACAGGCTTGAGGAGTTCTTGTCACTCCTGAATCAGTTTGGGCTCAAGCTGAGCGCGAAGAAGACAAGCTTATACCAGACTGAAGTCAAATGTCGCGGTCGCCTCATCAACGGCGACGGAGTCAGGTACGACCCCGAGCGGACCGACACACTCTGCGCCATGCCCTACCCTACAATAGCAGGCAAACTACAACAGTTCGTCTGTGCGATTAACTGGATGCGTGAATGCATCGTGGATTTCGCCCGTCAAGTTGCACCCCTGCAACGTCATCTTGATGCTGAACTGACCAACACGAAGCTGACAAAACGCGCCGCGGCTGGTATCAAGATAGAGCTCACGCAGGAGGAGCGTAATGCATACGACCACGTGAAGGAGATGTTGGCCAGTGTAGCCACTCTCGCGTTCACCCACGACGAAACCACAACCTGTCTGTTCACCGACGCCAGCGACATTGGTTGGGCGGTGATCGTCACGCTGGTGACGGACTACAACTCGAAGATTCCAGTGCAGCAGCAGAGCCATAAGCTCCTGACGTGCATGAGCGGTACCTTCACCTGTAGCCAGCTCAACTGGACAGTCATCGAGAAGGAGGCTCTGCCAATAGTCATTGCTTGCAAAAAGCTCGACTACCTCCTTCTCAGACCCAAGGCCTTCCGCATGTTCTGTGAATATCGTAACCTGGTGCGCGTGTTCGCACCAGACGAGAGTGTCAATAAGCATGTGAAGGGCAAGTTACTAAGATGGGCTATGAAGCTCATTGGTTTTACGTACATTGTGGAACACATCCCGGGCCCAGACAACGTATGGGCAGACATGGCTTCGCGGTGGGCCGGCAACCACGTGCCAGAGGTCACTGTGAAGCAGCTCAAAACTATCCGGCGCCGACGACCATGGGACCAGACACAACGGCCCGAGCTCCGACCATTCGACGCCGATAGTTTCGTATGGCCAAAGTTCGAAGAGATCCTGAGACGTAAGGCAAGTACCCGTCGCCGACCGGTGCCGTGCGCACGGACGAAGGTGTCCTCGCCGTCGACAACCGAATCTGGTTTCCTGCAGAGGCTACTGAAATCATACAGAGGCTCTGTGTAGTAGCACACTGCGGTTCCCAAGACCATCGAGGCCAACAAGCTATGGTCGTTCATCTACAGCGCCTATTCACAATCGACCGCCTCCGTCAGACCGTCGCGGACGTTGTGAACAATTGTTTGCTATGTCTGCATTCCAGAGTGGGGGAAGATCATCCCAAGACCGTGGAGTGAAGTGATCGACTGCAGACAACGCAACAAGGTTCTCCAATTTAATTACCTATATTTGGGGCCAAGTTATGGATTCAGCAACTACCTTCAAGTACTCAAGGACCAAGCCACTCACTATTGCGAATTAGTGGTGGCAGACTCGGCGGAAAGTCAAGTGGTCGTTGAGGCGCTATTAGCGTGGCACGCCAGGTTCGGAATACCGCCCACGTGGGTATCCGACTAGGGTTCGCATTTCAAGAGTGAAATCGTGGCGGAACGGAGTAGAAGGATACGCACACAACAAGCGTTCACCCCGGCATACAACCCGTGGGTGATTGGTTCGATCGAACGTGTCAATCGGGACGTGCTTCAGGTCATCCGTGCTATGATCCTCGAGTATCGACTGGGTGTACCTTGTGCCACTCATGCTGTCCAACTTGAACAATACTGCGGTGCCTTGGTTAGGCAACCACTCACCGTTGGAGCACTTTACAGGGCTAGAACGCCCGACCCCACTGGACAAATTCTACCTACCAGAGAGTCGTCGGTTGCAGACGATTCCTACGAGTGCTGAGATGGATGGATATCTGTCGGAGCTTCGCGGCAGTATCCAGTCGATGCACTGTGCGGCGGACGACCAGCGGCAGAAGCAGAGACTCCTGAACAAGAAGCGTGAGCGCGGTGACACTCTGGTTAATTTCGCAGTGGGTGACTATGTTCTCAGGTCCAGAGTGGACGAGAAGCATGGCAACAAGTTACAGGTAATGTGGATTGGTCCATAT